CTTAATTTGTTTGTATTATTTATCACAAGAGGAATTTCATTGTAAAATCACTTTGATAAAGTGTGAGTCGTGTTGAAGTCCCTTAAAGATGAGCATTGTATAAGGATCGGTGCTCCTTGTTGTTAGTCACCGTGTGGGTCATATTGAGGTCCCGTAAAGCTCAATAGTGTGGGTCGTGTCGATGTCCCGTAAAGCTCAACGTTGTATAAGGATCGAGGCTCCTTGTTTGTAAGTCACCAGAAGCGTTGTAAAGTGTTGAATTGCACCATAAGTCAATCAACATATTGAAAAGGCCTTACTCATGCCAGAGAGCTTGGTAACGAGGGACGTAGATCATTGGTTTGGATCGAACCTCCACAAATATATCGTTTGCATCCTCTTACCCTTTTACTTATTACTTTTATATTTGTGCTTATTGTTTGAATTAATCTATTTAGTCTTTACTTGCTTGAATTTAGATTAATTATTCGAAAAAAATTTAAAAATCAATTTACCCCCCTCTTGGTTAGTTATTCTTCGGCTAACACATGAGACTTCACCAAAAGAAGCCAAAGATAATTTGTATAAACTATCACATAAGGGGCCATTTCCAATCAAATGAGAATCATAAAACAATTTAACCATTCCATTACCAAAATTAAAGGAAAAACCAGAAGCATCAAATTTCGATATAGAAATTAAATTTAGTCCCATTTCGGTTTAAAAATAGTATTCTCTAAAATAAGAGAGAAACCATACTCCAAAGATAATTTCACTACTCCTATGAACTCAACCTTCACTTGAACTCTATTCCCAACGGACATGCTTACTTCATTCTCACTTGACCCCCGTTTGCTTGTGATCCTCTGCAAGGAATTCGCAATATGAATACTGGCTCTCAAGTCAAACACCAATAATTCAAAGGAACATCTACAAAAGAAGATTCAAAACAAACTAAGGCAAAGGAGATACCTGCGGAACTCTTCTTCTTCTCCAACCAAGTCTTAAAACTTAAAACAATCTTTCTCCCATTGACCCTTCTTTTTGCAGAACTTACATTGATCATTTTTCTTTATAGTTCCTTTGGGACCACCAGAAGTCTGACCTCCAATTTTTTTTTCTAATCATTGCAGTGTGACTTGTTTCCCTTGTGGAACTTAAACTTATGGTTATGAGAAGACCCCTTGTTCTGTGGTGGCTAAAAAGCTAATTGTATAGTTTCGATACTTTCAACCCTTAACCTATACTCCTCTCGGACACACACAACAATATGATCATTCAAATCCCATTTATCTCTTTGAGCATTATAAGCGACATTCAGCTAATTAAGCTGGTTCGAAAGGCTATTCAGAACATGATAGACTAGAAAATGCTCAACAATGGAAATCTTAAGAGCCTTTAATTTAGAAGATATATTAATCATTTTCATAACATGCCCCCGAACACCACTTATACCATCATATCTCATATTCATTAGTCTGTCCATCAGATCTCCAGTTTCTACTTTATCAGACTCAACAAATCTCAATCNAGTTTGTCCATCAGATCTCTAGTTTAAGCTTTATTAGACTCAACAAATCTCACTTCTGTGGCATCAACAAAACCTTTAGCATTTTCATTATCCGAAATAGCACCCATAATGGATCGGATATGGAGCGCCTAATAATTTTGAAAGAAAGTCTATTAGTCGTTTCCCATTTTTCATACTCAGCTACATATTCGGGATCACTTTTATCTGTGGGTTTCGAAAGCTGCTTCTCCATTGAAAAATCCAACCCCAAAAGACCAAGTGCTATTTCTACGTCTCATTTCAATCTCACATAATTATTCACAGTCAACGTTTCAATAGCAGACAATTGACTTAAAAGAGCTGAGGCATTTAAAACTGTAGAAACATAAAATAACATATTTAATATCATCCAAACATAATGCATGTAAACAATGAATGATAACATATCTAGCTACTTAGATAGTCTCTCATTAAAGTAAAAAATCAAATGAACATTATTATGATAAGAGCCTAGATGCATTATTATAAAGTCACCTTTGGACTAACAACATAACACACTATAATGTATTTTTAATACACATGATCAAGTTAGTTAACAAAACATATTGATTTTCGAAATAGCAATACCTTTGGGTAGAAGGAGATTTATAGACCAAGTAAACTCGTTAACTGTCTCATACCAATTTCACATATAATAACACTTTTGGGCAATATACTATATATAATAATTCAAAACTATGATCCTAACGTTCATTTTTTTTTTATTGAGAAAATCTAAATAACAATGAGTGTGCCACTTTGGCGGCTACCACCTATTTTTATTTCAAAATATTTCCAATGAAAAATTCGATCACAAAATAATAATTATGCAAACAATCATCATTATCAACTAATGAAAGGCAAAATTCATGTGATTGAGAAACGAAATTGACAACAAAATTTCAATATATGAAAGGTGAAATTCAAGTGGGCAAAAATAGCATCATTTAAATATATATTATCATTTTAACGAAAATATAAAAGTAGTCAATTTTAAATACAATTTGAATTTTAGGTCGAAATTGAAATATACTTGGATCAAATTTAAAAAATCCTATTTTAAAAATTCAAATTCAACACCTCCTTTTGAAAATTGCAAATTGGCCCTTGAGTGTTAATTGCAAGAAGGGGCTCACAATATTATAATTGCATGTAAAGCCCCCAAAGAATCGCAAATTGTAGAAGGAGCCCCCATCCCCAAAACAACTCAAAACACGATCTAATAATCAAACCCTAGGCTTCTCTCCCTTCTCGTGGCACGCCGGGCCCGATTTTTTTTTTTTTTTTAATGCAGCCCCAAGGCCTGCGAATAAACGGACAGCCGTGGGCTGCCCAAGACAGCGTCCGGCGCTGCTCGGTGACAACAAATTTCCCCAGATTGAAGATTCACACCCAATGATAAGATCAGATTTTGGCCAAGTGGGATCTAAAGGCATGAATGCCTCCCCACATCTTAGAACAGAGAGGACAGCCACAATGTATTCAATAGAAAGTTCCATGAATATTCCTATTATATTTTTGGAGAGTGCTGCCCACTCAGACTGGAAGATTTCGAAGACACAGAAACCTGGACAAGTTTTGACTTCTTGCTAGAAAAATTAACTAGATGGGATTTAACTAGATATGGATCATCCGCGCCGTCTAGAATTCGCCTGAGTCGACAACTGAGATTCTCAACGGCAGAGAGAATGTCAGAGAAAGTGAAGCACTAGTCGCCTTCATAACGCGAAAGGTGTGAAGAAGACGGATTTTCGCTGGAGATAAATTCATTGTTATCATCATTGGTTAATTTGTCCGTGTTGCAACTACGGTGAAATTCCCGGGCGGTTCACACACAAAACGGGTTCATTCATACCAAAATTAAAACAAACCCAGATGCCATTATTTTGTGGTGTTTGGAATACATACAAACATATATACACACACTTCTATTCATAAAGATTTCTTGCACTTCTATTCCTGAACAATATAAACATATTCGACAGAGATTTATTATAGATTTGAAATTTCAATCTTATATTGAAATGATAACAAAACTTGGTAAAATCCACATGCTAATTCAATTCCAATAAGTTCTCATTGATCAAATATGCTTATGCAATGTGAACACATTAAAAACATTCAATTTGTTATCAATACTCCATTTTTGCTTCCTTTTAAATTTATAAAAAGCAGGCACTGAGGATGTTTGGGCAGCATGTCTCTACCAGCATCATTGGATGCTTATACATTCAAAAGTTTCCTATATGAAGACTTACGGTTGATTGTAATTGAAGTTCTTTTGTTTTTAGCAAAGGAAAACCACACGGCAGTTTTGTATGCACACAGCCAGTCATACACAAAACAAGGTAAAATCCCAAATTTATTACACCACGCATGGTTGCAGAGAATAGCCTGAGTCTTGCTATTTGGATATTCACACATGTACATACAAGAGGGGAAGAATAGCAATTGTTGTATTTAATAATTGAAAGTTGGAAATTGAAAAGCAAAGCTATTTTATCAGATGACTACATACAGCAGCCAGGTTTTGCTTTTAATTTTGTTTAAAGGATTCTAATCTTAGCATGTAGCTTTGATACCAATTGTTGTAATTATTTAATAATCATGATAAGAACAAGAATCATGTATTCTAAATTGGTAGATTAAAACTCATACATGCGGAAGACATTGTTATGTATGAATATTACCAGCTAGTTTCCCTCCTTACTCCTCAAAATAATCCACCGTCAATGGGGCAAGCCAAAACGATATGGAAAAGAGATGTGACCAGTCACTATATAGGAAATTATAAGGCCGACACATTACCGACTCTAACCCTAATTATAGTTTACATAAAATCCGACCCACATACTTACAATTACCACATTATAATAATATAGCTCGTAAGGTGTACAACGACCTAAGTGATCACTAACATATTGGATCTAATCATAGTATCATTACAAACCATACATCTAAGGGAAATTATAAAAAATAAGGGGTTTAAAGATAATTTTTTAAAAATTAGGTCCAAAGTTTATTTATTCAAAATTCAAGTAATATATCAAAACCTTAACCCTAATTCATCACTCTCTCTCTCTCTCTCTCTCTCTCTCTCTCTCTCCTCACTTCCCCCCGCCTCTCTCCCTTACCTCTCTCTCACCTCACTTTCCCCCACCTCTCCGTAGCGCCGCTTGAGTCATGGAAGACCACGGTGGAGCTCGTCGTTGTGCAGCGAGCGCCGCTTTATCTTTGAGCTTTGCTGTGCAGCGAGTGCCGCTTTATCTTTGAGCTTCGCTGTGCAGCGGGTTGGGTTTGTGTGCTTCAACGTTTTGCGTCACGGATCTAAAACGGGTTTGCCCAAGTGAACTGTGAATAGGTGGAAGGGAAGCTTGTAAGAGTGCGTGTGAAGCTTTCGGGAGTCGAGAGTATTGCTGTAGCGGCGCGTTTAACTTACCTGCCACCTGCAAGCCGTCCGTTTATGCTCAGATGTTCAAATCTGCTTGTCCCAGATCCTATAGCTACACTTATGATGATCCTACCAGCACTTTCACTTGCTCTGGTGCAGATTATACTGTAACCTTTTGGTAGTGCAATAGTGGTGGTGGTTGTGGTTTTTGGGCTCCTCGATGTGAGCTCGTTTGCTCAGATCTTAGTCGCTGCACGGTGTTCAGTCGCAGTGGTGTTTGGTGAGTGTGGATGTGGGTGGTGTTGATGTGGTTGTGGGTTGACGGTGTGGTGATGGTTGTGCGGTGGATCTAGGTAGGACGACGGTGGTGGTTGTTGGCAGTGGCGATTTGGGTCGTGTTGGTGAGGTTGTGTGGTGGTGGTGGTGGTGCGGTAGATCTGGGAAGGACGGCGGTGGTGGTTGATTACAGTGGTGATTTGGGTTTTCTGTGATTAAAAATATAATCTACGACCAACCATTTTTTAATCCGTGACCTAAAAATTATATAATTTGTGATCGTAAAAAAATATGTGACCAATTAATTTAGAAATATGTGACTGTGTGACCTATGAACTTTGATCTGTGACCAACTAATTTTGAAATCTGTGACCAACGAATTAATGTGACCTATAAAATTTTTGAACTGTGACCAGAATGGTCACCGAAATAGTTGCAGGAATAATTGTCGGAATCGAAGCAATCGTCGGAACGATCGCGGGAGAAGAGTGGTGGTCAGAATAGTTCCCGGAGCGGTATAAGTGGTGCATGTGGGATGTGTTAATTATATTATATTAGAATTAAATATTTAATAATAAATTGATTTAATAATTTATTATTTCATAAATAAAAAATAAAAAAAAAAATATGATTTTTGAATTTTCAAACTATAAACCTGATTTTNNNNAAATTATAAACATGATTTTTGAATTTGTGTAAAAAAATACATCTTATTTATGAATTTTTCCCGACATCTAACCCGTAAAATTCGCAATAAAATGGAAGCACACATAATAGAATTATTCTATCAATAAAATGAAAATATATGACATTTTATAGAAGTAAAATATATTTTACAATACTCTATGATAATATATAAAAGCATTTTTATTTACCGAACACTCAAATCTTAATCTGAAATATACAGCAATTCTCAATCAAAAGTTTTCTGAACACTAAACCGATTCTTTCCGCAAATATTCAGTTTTTATTCAAAAGTTGCTTATTTTTTCTCTTTTTGGTGAGTCGACAAGTTACTTGCCCCATTTAACAAGTAGACTGACGCATAGAGAATGTTTGGCTAAGCTGAAAAGTTCCCTGCGGCCCTTCATGTGTACAGGCTGAGAAATTAGCTTTCATTC